GTGTGCAGGAGGATGAGCATAGATCACATGTAAATACTATGGCAATTCATTTTATTTAAGGGACTTCATTATCCACAGATTTTGGTATCCATGGGGGTTCTTAGTACCGATCCTCCATGTACCAAGGGATGATTATATTTGTAGCCAGTTAAGAACCCTTCATTATCATGACCTTCTCTGAAGGGAAAGGTAGATATAGGACTATAGTAGGGTCCCCACAGCATTCTGGGAGATGAGAGGACATAAACAGACTGAATATACCATTTTATAAGAGAAAAAAATTCTTTTTTTTTAACTATTTATTGTTTAGTTTTAGTTGGACACAATATCTTTATTTTACTTATTTATTTGTATGCAGTGCTGAGGATCGAATCCAGGGCCTCGCACATGCCAGGTGAGCGCTCTACCTCTAAGCCACAACCCCAGCCTGAGAAAAAAATTCTTTTTCTCCATAAAAATAAGGGGGAAACTTGAAAGATTTTAGGAGAATACCTCCAACTATATTATGTATTCAAGTGTCAAGTAACAGGATGTGAATACTGGACAGAGAATAACAAAAAAACTCTACCTCCACCAAACCCACATAGGGATTTCTCTAATGAATTATAAATGATCCTGTATAGTGCAACTGTAACTACTGACAATTGTGTGTGTGTGTGTGTGTGTGTGTGTGTGTGTGTGTGTGTGTGTGGGGGGGGGGGGGGTACTGGGGGTTGAACCCAGGGGCACTCTACCACTGAACAACACCCTCAGCCCTTTTCATTTTTGAGACAGGATCTATTGCCCAGGCTGATCTCAAACTTGCCATCCTCTGCTTCAGCCTCCCAAATAGCTGGGACTTCAGGTGTACGCCACCATGCCTAGTAGTAAATACTTTACGTTTGCTACTATTAAGTCTGTTGAATCCTCAGCATCGAGAATAATACCTGATATACAAAGAATGCTCAATAAATATTTGTTATTGCTATTTTAAGTACAATATGTGTCCTCTTATTTCAAAAAAACAAATTAAGAATAAGCTAAAAGCTCTTTAAGTATATGCCCACCTTTTAAAAAAAAGAAAATGATTTCTGCCACTTTATATTTGAAGAACAAAGATTAAATAGGGTATAGCGGCTCACATTTGTAATCCCAGCAACTTGGGAGGCTCAGGCATTAGGAATGCTAAGTTCAAGGTCAGCATCAGCAACTTACTGAACCCTACAGTGTCTCAGCAAGACCCTGTTTCAAACTAAGTAAATAAATAAAAAGGATTAAGGATGTAGCTCAGTGGTAGAATGCCCCAGGTTCATTCTCCAGTAGACGCCCCCAAAAATGACATTAACAAATATTGCAAGAAACACAATTTTCTTGGCAGAAAGCTTTTAAAGGAATAAAGTGTTGTTTGATGTACAATCCAAAGAATTTTCCATGCAGACCCCACACACACACTTTTCTTAAGCCATCCTCAGCTTCTCTATCCTACTGACCTGTTAATGGTATCCAGATATGGGCAGTGGCGGCTCCTCCGATCCTCAGAATCCACGCGACCATTCTTTGCTAAAAGGAAAATCATTGCAGATTTTGAAAATGACAACTCTATATTCAGAATCAACTACCAGTGCTAAGAAACAAAGAAATGGAAAATCTAATCCAGATGAACTCCTAATTTCTTATATGGCAAATCATCTTTTTAAAAGTCCACTAGGGGAACAAGCCAGAAGCTGGAAGGATGCACTTGCTATGTATTTAACCAACAAGATTCACTTATACATTACATAAAGAAATTCAATGAGACATCGAAGATCTCGTGAACTATATCACAAGTGCTAAGATAAGGTCAATGCAATGCACAAGTACAGTTTAAAGAGGAGTGTGTATGGATATCCTAAATGTGCCACTTGTCTGGATCCATGTCACAGATTTAACCTTTAACAATTTAGCCTACCAGTTTTCATGGATACTGAAGGACCAAATTCGGCATTGGGTCCAAAACAAAAGACTGTTTAACAAGCAACAGCAGTGGCTAGAATATAGCACGGGTGTCCTTCCCACAAGGCCCCGGGAAGAGAAACTGCATAGGTGTGGTGCCTGACCAAAGAGCCCAGAGCCTATAGAACTCGCACCTTCTAGAGCTGGTTGGAGCCTGTCTCCCCTTGCTATTCACTGAACCCACACGCTAAGCCCGGAGCCAAGGCCGCCAGCCTGTGGCCCACACCGGCAGAACCTCAGGGCCCGACGGAGAACAGTCTCCCAGGCCGTCCACCTTGCGGGCGGGACACAGCCAGTCTCAGGCGCGCGCCGACCCGTCCGTCCGCAGTAGGCACCGCAGGGCCCTATGAGGGGTACGGTGGCTGCAGAAACCCTGGGCATTTGCTAAGGGGCGGCCGCTGGACCAGCGCGGTCTTCGCCGCCGCAGGGCCTGGACCCGACACCGGCAGAGCAGTGGCGGGGCCACAGGG